ACAGACCTACACAGCGGCATTGACTGCGTCCAAAGTGGGCTTGGTGTGAAAAAGTGTCAGTCCAGTACAAGTGATACAAGAACGTAAACTTTCAACTTTTCTGCCCGTCTCTCTCTACCTCCCTCCCTCTCCCAACATACGAGATTACTTGCAGTCAGATTTTGTGCTCACTTAGCCAACCTGGTCTGCCCATTACGTTCGTTCAGAGTGGTTCTTAAATGCAAGCTTTCAAATTCGATAATGATCTTTTCTCCCCCTAAAGCTATCGCGCTCTAGGATCTGGGCGTTCGAAGCGTCGTGTTTTCACAACTCCTTCCAGTATTACGCAGCATGCAACCGATGGCGCAGTCTATAAAAACGATTAAGTATTGAACCTTCTAGTACATTTGGAAGATATACATTGAGCGCGACGAGGGTGGTCGGCCAAGAAATGTTGGCCGTGTCTGATGGCAATTAAAAATACATAAATAGTTCTTTCATTCTTCCTTGAAATTTTCGATGTCCCAATCTCTATTAGCTATGTTTGCTGCCCATAAACAACCTCTGATGTAACATTATCACGCCAGTATTTGCATAAATTACGAAATGTTTTTACTTACATTTGGTATTTTTAAAACTTATATTACACCGATAACATGTGACCATGCTTCCAGCATTCTCCTTAGATGAAAGAGGTATTCACCTTAAGCGGTTATTTTACAGATTGGTAAGAATAGCTTCTAAATAGAACGCAGGAGTAGGAGCGCCTCGCCTACTTACAGCAGGTGGCCTTCCGATAAATTTCAGGAACGTTAGGTATTCCCCTGCCTTAACCCCAACAGTGACCCTAACACAAAACTAAATTGTAACCTTAATCTGAACCCTAGCCCTACCCTAAACCTAAGACTTACAATTAACACTAATTCAAACGCTAACCCAAACGCTGACTTTAATTCTAACCTTAAATATAACTCTAAAACACCCAATTTTTCCCGGATTTGATGCAAAGCTGCATCTGTGGTGGAGGGTTCCTCGTCCCGTGGCCTGTTTAGGTGGTCGTACATGTCATTTTTACCTACAGTTTGAACAAGTCCAAGTATGAGCATCCAGTGCGTTCAAAAACAATCGCACTATAAACACAGCAGAATAACTGCTTTTAAAGTTCAAAAAAGAAGGGCATATACATATGAAAATGGGAAATTCATCCCGAACCAATTTTTGGCTCAGATTCTAACAGGCCATTTTTGAAGGGCAGACGTTAAGATATTTAGCTCAAAATTCGGATCCTCTTAAGATTTGGGTAGCCCACTCTCTCATCCTCGAAAACATATTCTCCCAATGCTACTTTATTTGGTGGTAGCTGTTCCGCGTAAAGCCGGAGGCCAATACTGGCCCTGCAGATACGCGACGTGAGCGGCTGTCGTTCTCTTATCGGTTTGTAGCGACGCCTAAAAGCAGGTCAGTCCAAATTCCAAAACATCCTTTGTGCATATTAAATTGCAATAAAACAGCCTGTTGAATTTTAGCAGCAGCAGCATTTGATCTGTTTTATGATAAAAAGGTGCGACTGATAACAAGAACGACACTCTCCCTCATCATGATCGTTTAAAACCAAGGAAGACTCTGAGGGGTAAATTGACCCCACAGTTACTGTAAATATGAAAATCAAATACTTACAACATAGTCTCCCTAGGCGCAAACACGTTCCATATTCTCGCTAAGAAGGTTTACTAGCCCTGCTTGCCAGAAGTTCGTTCTTCAAGAATAAATTGCCATTTTGTGTTTGCGGTTTTTTGAATGAAGTTGATCGTTAGCAAGGAAAATGTTTCTTTGTGGCTGTGATCCGCACTCTCCCCCTAAAAGGAGCCGGTACCCACAACGTCTACAGATATACGTTTTCGGAACCCCAGGAAATGAGAATTATCCTCAATAAGGGGCCAGTTGGACCACAAGGAACCTTCATCGCACAAAAGGAAAATGCATAATCACGTACTTTTTTTCCTAATGCGATTGCTTTCGCCAATGGAGACAGATTGGCGATGTTTAGCGGCAGTTTTGAAATCATAGTCTACAGGATTCTGGGCTCTTTTTGCTTTTCCTTGGTTTTGACCTACTTCTTAGGAAGAGCGTTTTACCATACTGTATTGGACGGTGTTTTAAGCTCGGAACGACCTTGTTCGACCAATGTTCTTTGATCAACTTTAGTCAAGATTCCTGCTTTTGTAAGATCCTGATTAAATCCACATGCCCCAGTTTATCGCAAGACTATGCAACTCCTGGCAGCCTACTACTTTCTGAGCTGTGCTCTTTTCCGAATGTGACCTTGACATGCATTTTAAAATTACTAACTGGATGCTTTTGCCACCACAACGAATTGCCTACCATTTGACGACCTGTCTGCTAAGGAGTACTTTGCTGCACCTTCTCCGAGTCTCTAACTCGAAGTACGCGCCCGCACCTTCTCTGGTAGAAGGATATTATATTTCTGACCAGTCTGCACAGAGCAGGCTTTGTCAGCTAGTGCAGAGCTATCAACACCGAGGCTTGATCTGTCAATTCGTTCTCTCGTTTCGCGCCAGAGTGGACGGCATGTTGACACACCACAGACTGTACTGTACTTAAGTACACAAAACACCGATATTTCTGTGTATCTGGGGGTGTCGGGCGAAGTTGCGGTACCCTTGATACCTACCTTTAACTCTGTGACCCACTGGAGAGTCACTGCTGTGCGTTGGCCAAAAAGCTGGAGGCAGACGTGAGAAGGATCCAAGGGGTCGTGCTCTGAATATAACCCTCCCGTCGAAGCTGCTGTCCAAATTCTAGAGACAGGCAGTGTCTCAGCGTAAACTCAAAGGGCCCAAGACGAGTAAAAAGGACTCTTATACCAGATACAGGTTTTTAAAAATAGAAAAGCGAGTCGGACCTATGCACCCTAGACTCTCGGTCTTCCTGAACATGAAGACTTTTTAAGGCATAGTAACTGCCCCCATGAGAGCTGACATGCACCTCTTTGTCTGATTTGCCGCTCTGTTAATTTTAATTTAATTTACGTAAACGCAACTCTCCTGTAAGCTTTCTACAGACAGGAGACAGCCTTAAACTGAATAAAGTTTTGTAAAAAAGTGGATTAAGATCTCTTACAAATATTACTCCGCAAGGATTGATCAGGGACAGAATTTGTAGTGGAGATCAAGTGGATGCCAGCAACGTCATCTTAATTTTTAAAAGTAAATTCATACAAGGCTAGAGACAGCCGACAACCGCAGAGATAGTTCTCCTTATTCTTAAAAGTAAGTTCTTCCCCTGAGGATGGACGCCATCTCATCTTCGAGACTGCCATTGGTAAGGAGGACTCGTACTGCCGCCTAAACACGAAATGGGAATATGAACTACGCACAGTATACGTGGCTTTGCACCAAATTCTGGGTAAATTAGGCTTAGGACTAAGGCGAGCTTTAGGGTTAGGGTTAAGTTTACGATTAGGTTTAAGGCTTAGATAGGGTAAGGGTTAGGGTTCCTGTTAACTGTAAGTTGTAGTTCTACGGTAGGTCTAGGGTTAAGAGTAGGGTAACGGTTTAGTTGTATACTAAGTTTTTTGTTAAGGTTAAGATGCGGGAATATTTATCCCTCCGGACAGATATTATAATGCCACCTACTTTAAGTGGGCGGGGCGTTCTTATTTCCATGTCCTGTTTAGGCAGCCATACAAGTCATTTTTAACCGATTGTTTATTTGAGGAGTTTTGGTAAATAGTTTTTGCCAACACTGCACTAACTGTACTCACTCGCTTTCTTTTATCTTTTCGATATGTGAAATCACTGCCAAAATTTCCGGCTATTTCTTTGACTTAATAAGTGGGTCCTTTGTTCCTTCCAGAAGAGTTTAATCAATGGAGGCTTTAAAATAGTCTCTGACATCTAATGTGGGTAGGATGGATGTCGTGAGAAAGAGAATGATAACAGTTTACGTTACTTTATGGATGACCTCAGTAACACGTTCAGCAATGCTACCCATGTAAACATTCAAGAAGTAAAATTTGGCCAATGTACGTTTTCAGTTATTTATTATCAGACAGTTACCCTCCTTTATATCATTGTAACTGCATGATGATGAATAATCGTAAAAGCACGTTCAGCAAACTTGACTTCTTAAGTAACAGGTGTTCACAACAAAATGTATGAGTAAACTCGGGGACAAGTAGAATGGAGCCTATCACATTGGAGAATTCTATTCAACTTCCTGTACAAGGAAGTCAAAGTAGGATATCGGTAAACGTCAGTAAACCTGAAAGTATCCTGCAAAACCTTGGGCACAAGTGCGTGGAGGCGAAATCAAGAAAGAGGTCGTCGATTTTTGTGGAGAAGAGCCGATGTAGGCAACTGTTATACCAAATGCTGCCTTCTAATTTCATTAGCACAGCTTGCTTGCCAACGATCGCCTCGTCGGTCTAGGGTCCGAAATCAAAGCAAGAGATTGTGCGCAGCACAGCCGTAATTGTTGTCTGTAATTTCACTTTTTTATTCGGTACACCGACAACTTTGGCACAAAATGCAGTCAAAGGCTAATGTGATGCTGCTGGCAATTCGAATATTGTGCAGGAATTCCCGTTCCATAAGAGGAAGATTTTTCTGGCCATTTCTGGCTTCTATGTCTTCCTTCGCCAACCCATCTAAGACTTCAAGCTGCGTATAGTTGATAACTGGGTGCTTGGGCAGCACGCTGTTCTTTTTTGCTCACGGACTCATGTCCCGTGTTCCCTGATCATGAGAGTTTAAAGGCACAGTGATGTAGTATTTAACCGATAGAATTGCAGGAGAGAAAATGTCCCTTTCGTCGTGCTTTGGAACTGTAGTCTAGAGCCCTAACAAATGGCAAAGTAACAACAAATGAAGCAGAAAGGTATCGACCAGTGGGAGAGGATTTAAGTGATAATGTCTAATTCAGCCAGCCATACCTAAATTGGTTTCTAGGGCCACTACACAGGTGTGACATACGAAGAAGACTCCCGGTCCGATGTCGGGATCGTTTGCACTAGAGAAGTCTATTGGACTTATTCGATCTCAGTCTCTGCCTGATATTTATCTTCTTCTCTTCCGTCCTTCTTCTAAACGATGGAGAATAAAATTTAGAAATTAATTTCCACCTCTTTGTGATCCTTACTTGCTTGTCAATACTAATAGGAAAACTACCAGAACAGCATTAGCCTGTCTGAAAATTTCGCAGAAGCAACGAGCTCTAACCTGTGCGCATAATTGATGAATTTTCGAGTCATTGGGGGGCAGCTTACAGACTCGGATGTAAATAAGTTGAACACAACCTTTATTTACCTATCCTCCCAATTAACTATCCAATATCTCAAGTCTGACCCCATAATTGAATCACGAAAGCGATACATTATGTATGAAAACTTGAACTTCTCTCTTCTTGCCAAGAGCACTAGTGTGGTACAGTTCATAACACGCCCTCGG